TATATAATTTTTTTAGATTTGATCTGAAGATCAAATACAAAACAACCTCAATATTTGCTAACGTTATTATTATATATGCAAGAATATATTTACTACCAGGTATATATTCGCCGTGAAATAATTCACGTGGATGTGTTTGTGGCTGGTTTATGTCATATGAATGGATGCACCAAGTCTTCCAGTCGGTCCAATAAAGCCGATTGTCAAAAAACGTTATGGCAAATGGATACTCCAGATTGTGATCGATCAATCTGCGTCTATTACCACCATGATAATCCATTACAGCAATGAAGTGTAGTCTACCATCCGCCCAATAGACAAGTCTATTTTCATAATCAATCGTCAGGCCGTTTGGCCAAAATATGTCGTCAGAGACGATGATCTCGCGCGTATTCGGATCACCATCCATCGAGGCACGTTCAATCTTAGGTACATCGCCCCAATCGGTCCAAAATAGATATCCTTCCATGGGCGCCAGGGCGATTGCACGCGGCTGATAGATGTCATTCCAAAAGAGAACCTTCCTGTTATGGCCATCGATGCTGGTCACCTCAATCCGGTTCTTCTCGCCATCCGTCCAGTACAGTTTATCTGTAAACCAGTCGCAAGCAAGACCATCGGGCGATATCAAACTGGAATTCACTACTGTTATCTTCTCGCCAGTGTGCGTGCCATTATAGCGAATGCACTGTATCATCTCCAAACTGCTGTCGGACCAACAAATCAGCTCACGCTCATAGAAGAAGTCCAGCGATGCACCTTCTGATAAATCCTTGATGATAATGTTGATTTTGTTGCTGCGAGATACATTGGTCACCCTGATGTCCTTATGAGTGCCAAATAGAAGTAGAGGCGAGCCTAAAAAATAATAATATCAATAATATAATATTTAGTTTAAAAATAATTGAAAACTCACTTAAAAAATTTTGACTTAATTAATCTTGGGCTTGAACTTAATATGTCCTTGTCGCTGAACTATCAACTCTTTACATTCTTTAGAATCAAATCTCACACTAAGAAGTAAAAATTGAGTTAGTCTTAAAAAAACCCTACTGAAAAAAATCATATCACAACGTTAGATGATGAAATTGTGTAACTAAAACATGTAAATCAATGGAATGTTCCAAATCAGTACGTGATATTAAAATTACGTCATGCAATGTGTGATTTTTTTCAGTAGGAAAGACTGACTTAATTTTCAATCTTTAATATTTACCTTATTTCGTTAATGATTATATTTAAAAATAAATAAATAACTCATAAAGTTAAAAGACTGAAAATAAAAATAAAAATACCGCTATAAAAAAAAACCGATTTAAAAAAAAAGAAAAGAGAAAAAGAATGAAGCATAGGCTGTGTTCACTTTGGCGTTCAGAACGCTTTAAGCGTCGTTTCATCTTTGTTGTTTAGTAAATATTAAACAAGGATGACAATTGATGCTCACAAGCGTTGTGAGCGGGAAAGCGAATGCAGCCATAATAAACACACACACACACACAAACGTACATACATAACGCAAGCAAAACAAACATGAAAAACTGTGCATAGACGACAGCAGCACAAAAATATAAAATTGGAAAAAAAGGAAAAAGATCAAAAAAGAAGACGAAAAAGAGCTAGTCTCAAAGATATCCATTTTAAAAGAGGAAGAATGATAAGATCTTGATGGATTGAGCATCGATGCTACTTACCATTGGAAGAAAAAAAGCCGCAGAGGAAGCAAGCGATAGCGAGCCACGCGTTCCACGTAATCATGGCGAGGATTAATTATCCTAGCTGCAAGTTTCACGTATTCTCGGTCGAGATAAAATCGCGTTCGCAGCCACGATCATCTCGTCGCTGTATGGATGATAGAGCAATCCCTTAATCTGATCACGTCCGTTTTCCTCGCGTCACCGGCCATTTGTACTGTGGAACTATCTTGGATCTAAAGCGCTCCAGACTCCAGCGGTGGCGTCTACCGCTTCGAACTTCACGAGATTCATGGATGCACTGTTTTATCGACGTTCGATTCTCTCTTCGAAAATACTTACACGGGTAAACAAAAGAATAATTTTCCCCAGAATTTGTTATATATATATTTCTTAGAATTTTTGTGTAAATTTTAGAATTTTTTCAGAATTTTTAAATCATGACAAATCTTATTGTTAGAATATTCTATTAACTCACATAAACGAAAAATTCCCAGAAAAAAAATGTAGACTGTCTTACGACTGACTGTATTCACAGTCAGGCCTTATATTTAAGGCTGCCTTAAATTTATCTTCAGATACTCTACGAACTATTTCACTGACTATCGAGCATCTAAAGATAAATTTATAAGGAAGCCTTAAATACAAGATCTGACTATAAATATTTTTTTGGGCATTAGTATTTCTGAAAAGTGTTCCAATTCGTACAGAAAATTTTCAGAAAAAGTTTTAATATACAGCAATTTTTTCAGTTTATCGTTTTTAAGCTGTTAAAACGTTTTAATTTAAAATTCTTAGAAAAAAATAAAAAGTACAAGTTGAACAGAGATTAAAATTAATCTACATTGATGAAAATGGGCATAATAAATTGCATATCAATTTTAAGAATATAAAAAATTTGTTTAAATGAAATAAATAATAAAACAAATTTTTTTATAAATACGCTGTTTTATCGATATATCCAGTTGTCCAAAAATATGTAAACAAAGAGATATAAGTACAATTTCTTCTTTTTCTATCATTTTAAAAGCATCGAGTACAAGAAATATTTTAAAAGCGCATTAATAGATTCGATATATCAATTTTATTGTCGAATATAATATAAATCTAACAAAATTTTTGAAATATTGGTATTTATATAGCAAATTTATTTCTATATATAATACAGAAAATTTAATTGTTTACAATACAGAACGCCTTAATATATCCTTTATTCCAGATTCGAGATTGGATGATCCTTTTTTGTTTTGCAGATAAATCCTTATACCTGTTTTCGATTGTCCTTTTCCACCTGTTGCAATTGGAATTGATCGAAATGAATCCATTCATCCGCGAGAGACAGCTGGGAGCTGAGATCAGCCTCCCACAGAAAAAAAAAGCATCGTGTCATCTGCGATGCAGAAAGTGCAATTCGGAGAATCGAAGCAAATCGAAGCAAATCGAAGGAAAAGATTGGAAAAGATGGGACGATCACGTGGATTTAAACGGAAGCGATTTACGAGGGTCGTGGCTGATTGCACCGACCTTGTTTGCTCAGTGATAAGCGATTTCAGGACAAATAGGTTACCTACGTCAGCCACAGTCCAAATCAAATTGAAACGCAACAATCGTGACGCGATCGCTGCGCGATGACTACATATCACTCTCGTTGACCTTCCGCGACCTCGTGGATTTTGCTCGTCATTTTCGTTATTTTGTGCTTTGTTGACGACGCAGGTGGAATTTCATGAGCGAGTATTCATGATTGACAGAACGATCACCGATAATCTCTCTTCCGTAGACAGTCCAGGTAGATCTGGTAGACGTGGAACAATGTGGATCTGCTCGTTTTAATTGCGATCGCCATCAAAAACTGAACTCCAGATTTCCTGTAGGTGCGAAAAAATGATCTCAGAAATCAATCGTCGTATTTGCAGTCGTATATATTTACTCTTAGACGTCGAGACTAAAAAGACTTCTTAAGTGTTTCATTTACTTTTAGAAGATTACATAATTGTGAGAAATGTACAGAAAAATTTGTAACGCGAAATCTTGCAGAACCTAAAAGTTGTATTTATATTTTGCACAAAAAGAAGTTTGTCCTTTGCACGATTCATCTTCTCTTTTCTTCTCCAATGCAATGTTGAGAGAAAAAAAAGTTTAACTAAAAAGAACAGATCTAACAACAGGTTAATTAATTTATTATAAGTTAGGTGATAAAAAACTTTAATTCTGTTTATATTTTTTTGCTAATATATTATATAAATATTAAATTAAATTTACATTAGTTATATCCTTACAAAATAGGTGTATATAAAAATAATGCGAATTTTAAGATTTCTTAAAGCATCTTTCAATACTTTTTTTCTCCTTTTTTAGAGTTTTAAAGAAAATTACTTGAGATGTTGTGACCACACTTCACCTACCTATTCAAATGTCACAATACTATAATGAATTTATTGCGAAAAATATCCCAGCCAGATATTTTAAAGGTGCTCATTAACACCAGTATTATTAAATTGTTGGTCAATTTAATTTGTAATATTATGTACTTCAGCTTAAGTTCAGGACTGTTTTAATTGTGTATCTTGGAATGAGGTAAAAATGATAAAAGTAAGCAAATTCTTCAAAATATTGATCATTTTATTAGTCAGCACCTGTGAATTTGCTAACTTTTGTATTTTTCAAAATATATGATTAACTCCTTGATCTTTAGAAGACAAATATTCATGATTAAATAATGACACAATAAGGCTCTTTCACAATCATCTGAGTTTCCTAAATATTCTGATTATATGTTGGTTTCCGTTGTTATAATCTGTTATTCTGATACTGTTTTAACAGCTCTGATATTTTTATTATGCTTGAACATATTTATATATATTACTGTTGATTGCTTTTTTTCTGTAATTTTGACGAAATTAATTCACAAATAAATTGCGTGAAAAATTGCTATAATTCCTTCAAAGATAACTTTTGTTAAAACGAAAAATCTCATAGATGTATTTAGCAATTTTAATTTTTTCTTTTTGATTCATTTAGAATACACTTTTGAAAGAAATGTGTCTCATAGAAAAATGTATTTAAAACGTTAATTTTATCTCACAATTTGAAGGCAACCACTACTTCAGTTGAAAATGCAGATGTCCAAACATCATTTACAAGAACCTTTTTCACATAATCACTACTTCTGTTATTCTATTTTCATAATTTTGTGACTTTTTAGAACTATATTTTTTTTCTCGTCTCAAAGATTGCAAATATTAATTAATTCTATGATTTACAGACGCAGACAAATTCAGTGGAAAAAAACGTTCTCCGTCATCCCATATCTCTCCATAAACACTGCAAAACTTCTACCAGGAGTGAATCATTTTGTTTAGAAGAACAAAAACACAGGGTCGTCTGATGAGGGGTGATCTGCATCGGCATAAAATACATCTCACGTTTTCGAATGAAGTCACGTTTAAATCACGTTTCGTCGGCTGATAAGTCTGGAAACTTTATCTGGCACGAGCATGCCCCGATATGCAGGGTCACCCCATTGACTTCGACAGTGGAGAAACAAAGATAAACGGGGATGTATGTATACCCAGTATATATTTCAAACGTGAATCAGTATCGCGTCAGCCTTACAAAGAGGCCTTACAGAAAGGAAAATTTTCCATCTTTCAAATAAACAATCGTATTTGTCATTAATTATAAAACAAGTAAAAATTAATTGAATTTAATAACCGAGTATAAATGATTCATAGATTACATTGATTAACAAATTAGATCTGACTGGAAAATTTTTAGTATTTTTTTTATTTTGATCATAATTTTGTGAATATTTGAATATACTTATACAGCTTTTGGATCGTGAAATTTGATTATAGCAAATATTCGGCAGTGAATATAAGCTTTCAAATTATACAATCATGGAAGTTCTGGGAACTGTAAGTATCTCAAATTAATTTTTATTGAAGCCTTACACTTCTGTTTAGAATTAACTTTTAAATTTATATCTCGAATTTATTTCACATACGTATTTAAATAAACATTATCTACATGACTAAAAAATATTTGTACACTTCCTTTTGAGACATCTTGGCACAAAAACAAATGCTATTATAAATGAAAATATTTTACACAATATGCCAGATAGAACATAAAATGATAGAATGATACCATAGGACGTCATCATGAACTTATTTTTCACTTATAAATTCTTACTTAAGCCCTTATTATGATTTCATGTTCTACATGGAATAATATTACAAATAAAAAAATAAAAAAAAAATATATATATATATATATATATTTGGAAGTGTTTTAGAATCTTTTTTTTATAAAATTATCCTACAAGAAAGATAAGATATACAAATACTTTTTTTTATACCTACTCTATATCTTTAGGCAAATGTCTTATTTTAAGATTTTTGCAATGACGGAATTAAGGAAAGCTCTATCGTTGCACAGCACGTTAAAATACTTCTCAGAAATGATCATTCTCTTCTATTCGTAGAATTGAAATATAATTTTATAACGTAACGTTCGTAGAAATAATTTACTAAAAAGAACGTTTAAAAATTATTAATAAAGAAATAAATCAAACTAATCATAGACCTCCCACGAAGGAGTTGACAAAGAGCAATGAGGTGATGATAAAGTTACGTTAAGAGGAGTTCAGTCTAACGAAATTGTTTTCGCCTCTACTTATTAAAGCAAAAAGTAGAAAACAAATAGATGCTCCTGTGGCGCAAGATGTTGACATCATTAAGTATTAACATAAAAATCACGCGATGTCCTATTACAAAAACTCGTGTGCAAAATTAACGTCCTCTCGTGAAAAAAATAGCTGTTTGCCATGTGACGATAACCCCGGGTCACTCAACGATAACTATTGATATCATGCATTCGGCCGAGGTCTTTCGCCGCACGTGAGCGAACTCGTGCGACGAGAGATAATAATTTATAATAATCGCAACGATTGAGCTTCGCCCTGAAATCCAATAGATTAGTCTATATGTCTGCAATTTTCAATCAAGTTTCCTGTTTTTATTAGATTTTTATTAGGACTTGTTTTTATTAGCAATTAAGATACGAATTAAAGAATCTATCGTTGAAGATAGACGATTAAACAAAGATTATGATCCTTAGAGAAATTTAATACTATAAAGTATTAAATTAGTTAACTATTTATTTTGAGTATCAAAAGCACTGTTGTTACTTACAATAGTAAATTTTTCTAAGGGGAGTTGTAAAATAATAATTTGTCCTATGGACAATAAATTCGAATTTTTACTCATTGTTTTTCTATATTTGCAGTACCCGATTTTAAAGTCTTTTTTGGCGGGCTCGTTCTCCGGGACATTCTCCACGATCCTCTTCCAACCGCTGGATTTAGTGAAGACCAGACTTCAGAGTAGAATTAATGCCCCTGTCGGGTAAGATTAAAATACATTGCTGTAAACAAAATCGACATTTTTATTTTAAATATATAATCAGAATTTGTCCTCTTTGTGCTCAAAATTCTTAATACTTTTAAATTTAAATAATTTGATGTCTGTGTCGATATTTAATTTCTTAAAATTTTTCAAAATTACATCTTTTACTTAATTTAAATTTGATTTTTTGGCGCAATTAATTTTATTAATTTAAAATTTAATTCTTTTTTATTTTTATAAGAATTTAAATTTAAAACTTGTTACCTTAAGCTTCTATTTTTCAAATAATTACTAACTTTTCGGATTTCTTAATAGATCGCTAAAAAATGGAATGCTGGGCACAGTGGCGCACATCGTTCAGAAGGAGAATGTCTTCGGACTTTGGAAGGGTATGACACCGGTAAGATATCGTTCTGAAAATTAATATGAATTGAATGTTATTCACACTGATATAACGATATGATGGATGTCAATTGTAGTCGATAACTAGAGTAATTCCTGGTGTGGGTTTGTATTTTTCATCGCTACACTGGCTGAAACACACTTTCAATCTTGAAGAACCCCTGACAGCTCTGCAAGCTATTTCTTTGGGCATTACCGCAAGGTCCATGTCCGGCGCCTTGCTAATTCCTATCACTGTTGTGAAGACTCGATTTGAGGTACATTCAGAAAATAATAATAATAATAATAATAATAATAAGATAATAAATAGAATAAAGAGCATGAAAGAACATGATGGCATTTTTAAAATTACAAAGGAAAGAAATGCTGAAAACATGATAGAAAAAGAAAGAAAAATTCTAAAGCTCAGAAAAGTTTTCCCTAAACGTTATTAATATATATTTGTAATAGCATGACAATATCTAAAAATATTTTATAAGTTTCGATTATATGAGGATTCGATGATTATATTTTTTGATTTTTTCAAAACGAAATTCGAGCTGATTATATAAATATAATTCTGTATAATTTCTGCAGAGTGGTATTTACAAGTACAACGGTATCAGCGAAGCTCTTACGTTGATCTATAAGCAAGAGGGAGTAAGAGGTTTATCGAGTGGTTTGGTTCCTACTCTTCTACGAGATGCACCTTACAGTGGTTTATATCTCATGTTTTACACCCAATTAAAAAACGCGGCTGCCAGTACAGGTATTCCTCAAAGCGATATATTAAAAAATATTTTACATAAAAATTATGAAGTTGTTTATGACTTTGTTAGTATAATTTGTCGATATCCCTATAATTTTAAATTAAAAAAAATCAGATTTCATTAAGCTAATTATGTCGATATCTCGTTGAACAATAACAAATTCTTCTGTTTGCAGAAGCGACAAACAATTCGTCGACACCGGTACACTTTAGCTGTGGAATCCTGGCTGGAATTTTAGCATCCATAGTGACGCAACCACCGGATGTTATCAAGACGAAGATACAGTTGTACCCGAATGAATTCCATGGTATCTGTCACGCAACATTCTTCATTTACAAAAAGTATGGCATTTTAGGATATTTCAAGGGTATCATTCCTAGAATGCTGAGGCGGACTTTAATGACCACTATGGCTTGGACCGTGTATGAACAGGTAAGTCGATCTATTGTCAAATAAAGATATCGCTACGATCACATAAAAAATATTAAATTTCCAAATTTTGCAGAAATTATTACTACTATTATTAAATATTAAAATTCCATATAAGAATTATATACAATATTTATTTAGCAAATATATATATATTGTACATAAAAAATTATAATAGTGAAGCTAATTAAATTAACAATGTATATTTTATTGTATTATCCAGATTACGAGGCAAATTGGTTTGAAGTAAATACGCTGTTGTTATACGAATTATTTTATATCAGAAGATTGTGATGTACAGTATTAGCATAGACTGTTTATGTATTATTAAATTCACATATTTATATATATTTATTATATGTAATAAATTATATATTTTTATAAGCTTATGTGATTATATATTTATATATCATTATCCTTCTCATATAGATTTTTCACTTTGTACTTCATTGTTTATTCATCTAATTAATTCAATGCTCAAAAAAACAATGTTGCTTACACTTCAACAAAATGACACATATTGAAAACTAATGATATTAGATATGTAAAAAAAAATTAAACTTTCACACGTAGTGATTAAAAATTTTATATTTTTATGTAAATTATAAATTTAAATTGTTATACAAGTTTACTTCCTAATTATAACAGTAATTTCCAGAACAATGCAATTTTATATTGTTGAAGTTTTTTTTTATTATAAAATACTTTAAATATTCGAAAAAATTAAATTTAGAAAAAATTTAAAGAAAAATTACATAAAATTATATAAAAATATTCAAAAATAAGACAGAAAAGAAAAAGATCATTATCGTAATAATTTATAATAGAACTCTCTCCAGAAAGAACCGGAAGCAGATTGATATTTAGTAATTCATATCAATATTGTTTATCTTTAATAAAAACCAATAAAATCGTGATTTATATGCAACATTGGACGTGTCAAGGCCATTTTTGTATCGAAATTATATACACCCATATGACTTATATATATTATAAATTCTATAAAAAAAATAAATATGTAAAATCAAAATTATTGGATTTTATATACTTTACTTACTATGCATTTTTTCACACAATATTTTTTAAATTTGGTTAAATTTGTTAAAGCAAATTACATAACTAATAACTGTCTTTTAAATTAATGTAATTTTGATTTATATTTTATATTGATAAAGACCCGAATTAAATAGTCGAAACGTATATTTTATTCGTTTGTTACATTTACATGAAAATAAAGAATTTTCTGTGCATCCGAACAGCTGATGAAGCTCTGATGAGTTTTTTTACATTTTTCGCTGATAGATTCTTTCGAGTCTCATTTTATATTTCTCTGTCTTTTAAAATTATTTATTTAAACATACCTTGATAAACAATTTTATATATCTCTTAATTCATTATAATTAATATAAATTATTAAAAAAAATCATGCAAATATAATTTACTGTGGAAGAAGACGGTACACATTCTATGAAACAAAACAACTATAGAATATATGATAAGTAAGTATGCTCCAGAATATTTATTCTTTTTTCACATAAGTATCCCATTTATTCAAGTAGATTTCATGTATTCTCTAAAATAATAAGTTTTAAAATCTTAAAATAAATAATAATCAAGAATGAATAATAAGTAAAATGTCTTTAGCTTATTACATACATAAAGGCTATGTTGTTTATGTACGTAATAAGCTAAAGTACAAAAATTAGCTTAGCGGTCAAGATTAATATCATCTCAACTATGAAAATTATCGCTGCTACAGACTATATCGGTACTTATTCCGTGATTTTATAGGTGGTATGCAAAATATACGCGAATACAAAGGAGCAACTTTCTATAATATGTGTGTGTACAATAGCGAAACTATTGTATAAGAACTCTTTTGTGCCCTGAGAAAAGCATCGATTGAGGTCAGAGATGTCGCAGAAAATCATACTCGGAAAATTGGATGAATTCTTGTGCTTTATACATATAATATAAAGATAAAATGAATGAGAATCTTCTTTATCATATCATCGTGCAGTTCAAGCTCGATGGTA